CAGGGTAGAGCTGCCCCGGTGACTTTCCAAGACAGTAACTCTTTTTATTTTCTGAATTCCACTGCTGCTGTTTCTTTTTCATTATTTTTTATTTTAATTAATCATTTTACTGAAGGCTCTTACAGCTTTTATAACAATCCATACAATCAACTGTATCAAGCACATTTGTACATATGTTGCTATCATCATTTTCAAAACATTTTCTTTCTACTTGAGCCCCTGGTATCAGCTATTCTTTTTTCCCCTCCCTCCCCCTGCCTCCCATCTCCAAGAACCCTTGATAATTTATAAATTATTTTCATATTTTACACCATCCATTGTCTCCCTTCACCCACGTAACTCTTTACAGTAGTAGAAAACCTATCCTTTCTCCTATGAAGTGGCTGGTGGTTTCAAACTGCTGACCTTGCAGTTAGCAGCCCAAAGTATAACCACTATGCCATCAGGATTCAAATGAGTGACAGCAGCTAAAATATTATGGAAGAGTAGATATATTAATTTATTTTATTCTACTTTAAAGACATTATCTCCTTTACACAAGGTCTCTTCTCTCCCTTCTAAATACTCTTACATAACTATCTCTATTTTGAAGAAACACATCCTGGTTCAGAGTTATGATACCTTAGAAGTAAAGCAAAAATTATCACTCTTGAAGTTTGAATTTACTGAAAAGACTAAAATTCATTTTTGAAATCCTGAGGTTCCTTTTGCCTAAATGCTCCCAAAAACCTACAAATATAACTCCCATATATAATTCAACTAGTAATTTTTAACATAATTCGCTATTCAGTAACATGTATATGTTACACATTATATAACAAAACCATTAAACTAATGGCCCCATTAAAACACATTAAAATCTGACATTTAAAAATATGAACTTTAAACAATCAATGACATTCACTCACCACATTTTTTTTCTTTTTTTTTTTTCACCACATTTTAAAAAACACTTTACCGTCAAATTGATTTTATAAAGAATTCCCCAAAGTCTGATTACATAAAATTCTAATATAAAAGTTAATGTGGATACTTTTTAGTTCATTTGTCTATAAGACACAAAAGTGTCATTAAATTGTAAAATTACTTTAACTCAAAGGAACTGCTACCTGTTGGATATCACTAAGGATAAGCTTATGGATCATACTAATCTTTTCACCATCATTCAA